ATACCATGGTAGGCTTGGATGGCCCATCTCATCTACCAGAGGCTGAGCTTCTGAATGGTTAGTTTTAAGCCTCTTGCTAATAATATATCAAATCATCCATCATCAACGATTTATCTCACTTACTGTAAGACACAAATATGCATACCGAGCGGCAAATGTGGGCTTCTTGATGGTGTATGCCGTAGATGCCTTGACGGGACACAATGGGGCAGAATGGGTGACACAACAAGTTTACGGGCTCCACGCCCAACCAATATACTAAAATTACTCAATCGTACAATGAATTGTCTTTCGGCTCACACACACGATCCTAGCAAACACACACTCAAGCTATCACGCTATCTTTCAAGCTATCTCGTGAACGCAGGCACAATCTCTTTTCACTCTAGAGTCAAGTATAACACATGCCATATTCACGCTATCAAGGGACGTCGCACACAGACTTACACTCTTATCTAACGTTCACCAAATCTAGTGTCTGGACATTGGCCTTACTAGATTACAAATACTAGGATTGCCATCACAAAGCCCTACGGAAAGCCATCATCCGACCGAGCCCTCACTTTTACCCGACCTCATAAATTGGATCATTTCCAATGGGTTACCACTCTGCACAATTGGAGCTCGCTAATGCACCGTGGTGCCTCGGCGAAGGAGATGTTGCGTAGGAGCGGAGAAGATGGTTTCATTTCCCAAGAGCCCTTTTCTTTTAGTCATGGGCGAACGACGGGAATTGAACCCGCGCATGGTGGAACTTTGAGTCAATTTTCTTTATTGATGAACTCCTAGAATTCGAGGAGAAATTCGTATAAAAAAGCTAACTAGATCCTTTCAAGTGCGAAACTCTTCATTCCAGGCTTACTCTGATCTGTGCTTTCAGGAGTCTAAACTAAACCAACTAGGATGTTCATCAAGGACCCACATGTGGGCCCCAACCAATCCTCATGTTTTTGGGCAGAGGCTGCGCGTACGCAGGTCCCCACTACCACAAATTATGACGTAGGCTCGACCCCCATAAGAGCCGACCTTAGGCAGGGCACCCCTTCTAAGTGCAATGAGGTCGCCTCCCTAGGCCATGAGCCTTCTTGATCACCCAAAGGCCCCGTCCAGGTAAGTACGTAACTCAACGTATTTCCTTGGCTTTATAGGTCATGCCAAAGGCTTGATAACACTATTCGGCATCAATATGGGACCAAAAGCCTCCAATATTTGCATTACTTTCCACCCTGTTTTTGATATATAGTCCACTCCATAGTCCAGGTTAGTTATTGTCATACTAGTATCTTCACCCGTGCGATGCACGGAACATATTTATTAAAATATTTTAATAAATACATTAATATATATATATCATAAAAAGTAAATGACAAGTAAATAACATTATTATTGAATAGATAGTAAAAGTACAATATTATATGGTATTACAAATTTAGAAAAATTTCTCGATAGACAAAATTTTTAGTAGTTTTCTTTTCCCCATTATCGTCCCACCACATATTAATATCTTCAATCCCTGTGGATTAGTGACTCGAGACACATCAACGTATAATTGACCATGACTAATAAACACAGGTATTTTCATGTAAAGTCCGACATGGGATAACGACTGCTCTTGACTCTTGTTGATTGTCATTGCGTAAGAAAACATAAGAGTAAATTGTCTACGCTGGAACTTGAAGGGTATCCTGAGATCAGATGGAGATAGGAAAAGTCTTGGTACCAGTACCTTATGTCCAGCATTTGATCCTGTTAGAATCTTACATTCAAACACGTGAGTGAAAAGCTTCGGTATCACCAAGCGTGTTCCACTACACAGTCCAATCGAATGGTCAATATTTCTCAACAACATGACAGAAGTCTCAACCTTTAAGTGCAATTAATGATTTGGAACACCAAAACATTTTATACTATTTAAGAACTCCAGAGTGTGCAGGTCATGCAAGAAATCAATACCACCATCGGATTTGAATATGAGAGAACAATACACAGATTTTGAATATGAGATTTATAGCGTGAATTACTCCTATTTTGTACTCGAGTATCTTAGTAAGTTTGAGTGTATTTTGTTAAGTATTCACCAATAATATGCTTAAATTTTATTGACATTAATATGATTCAAGTATTTTGTTAAGCATTCAGCGGCAAAATTTCAAAAATGATACACTAAGTTGGCGTTGTCAACAAAACAGTCATTTTCTTGTCCCTCACGGAAAGAAAATATTTAGTTGACAATTTGGTCGGAAAAGATACATTAAGCACTCAACTTGGATAAAAACACTGACGTGGTCAGATTAGATATGACGTGACATTATAAATTTCCTTAATTTCCTACGTGTGATATACGTGGCGTTATGTGTCATCCTTCTCTCCAAGTACACAAATACGCTAACATAAATAAAAATAAAAATACTCGAAAAATAAATCAATACACATCAGAAAAAATAAGATAATACTAATATAAATAGAAAATAAATCCAAAAATAAAATAAAATAAAAAAAATAGAAAAAAATATATTTCGTTCTAATTTCTCAACTATATATTAACAAAATATTTAACAAATTTATATTTTGTTAATATTTATTAAAAAATAAAAAAGATATTTCGTTAATATTTCGTTTAATATAAATATATTTCACTAATATATATTAAAAAATACTAAAAAAATGAAGTTCATTAATAATAATAATTTTATATAATTTATTATACTATATAATATAATACTTTACATAATATTTTATTTATTTAATATATATAAGTATATTAAATATAAATATAAATCACAAATTTAAATGTATATTTAAATAAATTGAAATATATTTTTTAGATATATATTTTTAAAATAATTAAAATATATTTTTTAATATAAATTTATATTTTTTGATTCATATTTATATTTAATACTTATATATATTAAGTAAATAAAATTTTATGTAAAACTACTATATTAAATAATATAATTAATAATAAATTATATATAATTATTATTATTAACAAAATATTTTTTAATATATATTCGCGAATATATTTATATTTAACAAAATATTAACAAAATATTTTTTAATAACGAAATATTAACAAAGTATTTTATATTTTTTTAATAATTTTTTATATGTATTAAAGAAATATAATTTTAAAAATATTTTATTAATATATCGTTAAGGAAATAGAACATAATTTTTTTATTTTTGGATTTTTTTAATTTTTCTATTTTTTTATTTTTATTTTTATTATAATTATTGTTATTTTTTTTGCTAATGTGTCTTTATATTTATTTATTTTTGGATTTTTTTTAATTTTATTTTTATTTATCTATGTGTAGTTGTGTATTTTGAGATAATGATGTCACATCACGCCACGTATATAACACGTATGAACTAAATAAAGTTATAATGCCACGTCACTATCTAATCCGGCCACGCTAGCTTTTTTATCCAAGTGGGGTGATTAATGTATCTTTTCCGACCAAATCGCCAACTACATGTTTCTTTTCCGCGAGAAACAACAAAATATCTATTTTGTTGATAACGCTCAACTTGGTGTATCATTTTTGAAATTTTACCAGCATTCACCATTATCATGTATTCATCTAATAACTTAATTTAAATAGATTATTCATAATAAATATTCTTTTTAATTTGTTTTTTGGATCTATGCGTAATGTTAGAATAAACTAATACGTATGGTTATGTTAGCATAAACTAATACTGCTGCCTTAAAAAACATAGTAATGACATATGTAGAGTTCATGATATTAAATATATTTAAGGTATCAAGTGATTGAAATATGGTGACCGTAGTTGATGTTATACATTTTTAAATATATAGTAAAAGAATATTAATATATTTCCAAACAGAATTAATTGAGTAAGTTAACTTTTACTTATTATTTTCCATTCCTAAAATTTACCAAAAATAATTGAATACGAATTTAGTTATGTTAATGTTTTTCCCTTAATTATTTGCCATTCTTAACAAAAATAATTAACCTTACAATTACAATTACCCAACCAAATGTAGAAATATTGCCAATTATAGTCATTGCATATCATCTATATTTAGCAATAAATTCCATCAACTCCCTCTTTATATATATATAGATTAGTGATTAGTGATTAAGCTAAATAATGCTGATTAGTTGAACGTAGGATCTGGTTCTTGATATTTCATTAAAGATATCACTGAATTGAGATCATTTCTTCTGAATGGTTTGTCTAGAAAAATTATTATTCGCGAGCTCACATACATATGGTTACGGATCATTATATGAAGGAACTGAGCTGTAATGATTTTGAAGTGATTCGAATTCATCGATCAATTGGAAAACTGCAGCATCTCGATCTTCCAAGTGCCGTATTTCGTGTATAATCCCTTGGCCTTAATAAGTACCTCAACCTTGAAGATTTTTTATCCGCATATTTTCAAGAGTAAAGATTGTGTTGAGAATATGCAAAATGCAACGACAGTAACATTAGATAGTCACCAGTTGAGTTGAATCAACACCACCAAATAATAAAAAAAGAGTACTCTCACTAATAAGTCCTAAATGTTGCCCTATTCGAATACATAATCATACCAAAGTCCAGAACTAAGAACCGGATTGTCTGCAAAAGTAGTGGAATTGAAGAAAATAATATGCCATATCAACCATAAAACGCTAAAGACGATCCACTGAATATAACACCACCAAATATTACAAAGTCGAGCAAATGAGGTTGCTGACAACAGCAACACAAACTAAAGTACATTTCGACAACACAAGAGAATACTTAGGTTCTCTCTTGTTGCCTATATGCTGTTGTGGTTTGGCAATGCAGCTTTTAATAGTACAACAATGTCACAATTTGAAGTTGAAAAGGAAGTTTCAGTATCAAACTAAATGTCTAAATCTGAACTCGGAGATGGAAGACTAACAAGGAAATGGTGTATAAATTAACTTCACAAGAGTGCAGGTCAAATTGCTCGTGCAGGATTCATTTCCTCTACCATTTGGAGAGTCTCATCAATAAGGCCTGTAGCGCATAGGACGTCTGAACCTTGGAATCCTCCTGCTCATGAGAAATAATATTAGACATTATATATACGATTATATCAGGCGACAAATGAAGTTTTAATAACCGTAATCCGGTGAAGGAATCGTGCTATTCAGCAACTACAAGAGCAAGCTCACGGTTTCCAATTTTCATTCAGTCCCCGGGAATAATTCAAATTTGCTAGTGACAAAACAGATTGACCGTATGATCCTTAAAATTGCATGCTCAACAGACATAAACAGAACAGTACATATGAAAAAAAAAATATGACATCATACAAACAATAAAATCGAAAAGCATCTCCCAAAGGATGCACACAAGTAAAAGTGTGTGATTAATTGTCAAGCAGCACATGCAGGACCTCAAGTTATGGAAACCAAAAACAATTTTATATTATTGAAAAAATTTTATTGAGCCACGTATTATTTCTAAGCTAAAAGTAAAATTAGTATTTCTCACCCATAGCCAAAAGGAGGGTAGACAGGAGCATACATAAAAGGCCTTCTTGACCCAAAATAGGGATTGGGACGCCTTCCCCGGAATTGTTTCATGCCAGGAACATTAGTTCTCTTAGCTGACACCTGGCAATTTAAGAAGAAAAAAGATAATATCATAATCAGGTCTATGTGAATTCTTTCCTTTCATGTTCAAACCAAGTCGATTGAAAGAACCTTCAGCTGACGGCCATGTAGTTCTGACTCGTTAAGCAGAAGAGCATTCTGAACAGCCTCAATTTCAACAAACTCCACGTAAGCAAAACCTTTGGGTTGACCAAACTTGTCGGTCAAGATGGTGACCCTGTTCACAGTTCCACAAGACTGAAAATGTTGCTGCACCTCTTCAGGTGTGCATGCATAGTCCACCTGTAATAGGAGAGGGATCAGCTCAAAGATTAATCGGTAGGGACGCGATTGGGTACAAGTTAAAATCGGTTTTAAAGTTTTTATACTACTTAACTCAAAATCCAACACACATTTAAACCAAAAAAAAAAGTTCTCACTATTTTCAATATATTTAAATAATACAAAAATCAATCATATTCACACATCACATCAACTTCAATTCACTATTCATTCATTGTTTTTAACTATCTATCATCTTCAATAACTTCTCTCCTACTTTATATCACATCAACTTTAATCATTACATTTAATATTATTTAAATACAAAGTCACAATCCAACTCAATCCTCCACCCAATCAAATTTATTCAAAATTAACACCTTTCGACCAATAAATTCAATCAAAACCGATTTTATTTATATCCAATCGCCCCGTAGGCAATCACAGGAATACACGTGCACGCTCACGCACACAGACGAAATTAAAAAAATAAACCAAATGACAATATGCTTCTTTACTCGAATACACATGTGGAACAATTAATGCAGACCTTTCCCTGGAAGAAACAGGTATCTGAAAGGATTTATAGAAGTGATGACGAGAGCAGGCATAAGCAAAAACTGAAGGCAGTATGAGTAAAACAACCTTCAGTACATTTGTCACTTTTTTATATAAAAGGCGGACAAACTTAACCAAATAAAAAATATGTTTACATGTTAGTGTATTTGACAACCAAATAGGACTAAGAAACTTACATTGCCAACATAAATGGATCGAGAATCCACCTCTTCCTTTTCAGCTTGGGTAGCAGAGGCTCCACTTGAATCTTTTACCATGCCCAAAACAAAAAAAATGTTGTTAATTACAAGTTTAATAGCATTTTTTTAGCGAATTAGGTGACGTGTGCACAAAATGATCCAATTGAGAACTGGACTTTTTCTTTCCCCCAACATAGAGTTCCTTCAATCGATGAACATACTTTGAAGAAATACCACATTGATTTCAGCTCTATAATAGTAAAACATGTATGTCCTTTTGATTTATATAGAATAATTTGTCATTATTGGGGAAATAGTATGTAGAATGAACAGTCATAAGTCCACATTCAAGTAAATTATATAAAAGCGAATCACTGGAGTTGGTGTGTTTTCGCCATGATTTACAGAAACAATATTCATAGAACAGAGGTATCAATGTTTAAATGAAAATTAGAGCTGCACAACAGTAACTTTAGAGTTCACGGTCAAAACCAACACAATGACATCCCTATATGCAACAACCCAAAAGATAATAGTTTTTGGGAGACCAAGCCACTTTCTTCTCTTCCAAAAATTTCATGTTGAAATTTTCAGGAGACACAGTCAGTCACTTCCCTAAGAACCAAGCTTCTAAAGCCAGTAGCACATCAACATTCTAAACCTAAGCCATCCCATAAGAAATATACCATAAACCTCAAAAATGAATACCAACCAAAGGAGACGAACCAAAGAAAGAAAAACAACTAAAACAGATTAGGCCAGAAGTATCACATCAGTCTTCAAATATTAATTTTTCCTACTAGATCGTAAAGTCATTCCACTTTTAGTTCTCAATTAAATTCCATAACCAATTAACCATATAAAACAATATCATCCTGATGCTGCGATAATAATTAAAAGTGTATAAGAAGAACCAGCTTTCTTGGCAAAACTTTCAGATCAAACCAAAAATGGGGTATCCTCACATATTCTAATGCGCATAAATAACTAAAACGAAGAGGAGACAATCAACTGCATTTTCATAAAAGTTTCTCAAAATTATAGAGAAACAATGATCGTAATACTTCAGATCTAATACTAATGCAGATTTTACATACTTCTTCTGGACTGCGACAGCGAACCATTGTGACTCGCCATGACTTATTTGCCTCACAAATGTACAGTTCGATTTTACAGAGAAACCACCCAAAAACAGAAATATATATGAAATAAATTCGTCCAAAATTTTAATATTAGAGCAATCCACTCGATTAATCAGATTATTTGTGGATTATGGAGAAAAGTGCAAGAAATTTCAATAGGCAAGAAAAATTGGTGAAAAGAAAGAAATAAAGCAACGGTGTAAAGCAATATACTGGTTAGATATACAATATCATAATGAGGGTATGGTTGGTTAGACATTCGCAAAGAACGGGAAAAAAGGAGCTACAACTGTCAAAGATAAAGGTAAAAAATACAATCGTAATGATTTCAATAATCATAATTATATTATCACATTTCATATATATTATCGAAATCATATATCTAGCTTAAATTTCATGAAATTTGGATGTCAAAGTAAATTACAAAAGGTGTGATCAATGTTCGTCAATTGTAACTGACACCGCGAAAGCACACCGAAAACATTTAAAAGAAATTACACAAGTGACATCCTTGCCGTCTTGAAACTTGCACATAAATAGGTGTCATCATATTTGTGATTGACATCGCACTGCTTTTTTTTAAAAGATAAAATCATGGCACAGAAAAAGGGGGGGAAAAGTCACACTTGTACAGTGACTACTCATCAAACAACATCTCCGCTAAAGCAAGCATTTACAGCTAGCATCCGTAACAGCCAGCATTTACTATAAGCACCTACACATTAACTCACAGGCATAAGACAGGCAAAACAAAGGGAGGCTTCAGAAACAAATGTCCCTTTGATTTACACATTACAAGAAAACTCGTCAACAAATTGAGGTCCAGAACGAAAGAGGATAGAGCATAGGAGGAGCATAAAAAGTATGAGAAAGTTTCCAGCGGCATATGCGTCTCGTAAGCCCAGGTGGAGACACAGCTAAAATTTCCTTTTTCCATTTCTTTCTATTGATGCGTAAACTAGATTTCGTCAAAAGGTCCCCATAGAAGGTTTTGGTTCCAAATCAGCATTCATGGCTTAGTGCTTGATATCATATTATGTGAAGGGAAACAAAATCACAAAGATCATATTTCCGGTTCTAATTTCTAACAAAGGACCATGCTTTGAATCAGCGGTCGCGGGTCGTGAGAAGAGTAGAAACATTAGAATTAAGAACGCAAATTAAAAGGGGGAGGGGTAGACCGAATAAAACTTGGAAGGAGACGATAAAAAATGATTTAAAATATTTAAATTTGAAGGAGGATATGTGCTTTGATCGAGCACGATGGCGACATGTGATCCATATAGCGACCCACTTAGTGGGATTTTAATGGCTTGTTGATTGATTGATTAATCGATTGCAGCCTGTGATGCCACCATAATAACCATCTCTTCACAAATTGAAAAAATGGTAAATTGTAATTGATATGCTCTAGTGGCACCACATCCACCAGTGAGACGCTATTTTGAACTGAACCATTGGACAATCCAACAAAGTAATCGCAGATGTTTCAGTTATCGTTTTGACTCTTATTTTGTATGTAAGAGTGATAAATGCAAGTATACATGAGCAAGTGCTACTAAGTTTTGATGCCCCTCAATATGAACTTTAGTGGATAGCAAAGCATTGTAGAGTTATAGGGGGGGATCCTGGAAATCGTGAAGAAGTTTAGTTTGCGATCTAACCAAAACTTAGATCAACTTCAGGGTTCTTCAAATTTGGCAAATGGGCCAAAGATATCTGCCATCAGCTATTGGTAGAAATATATGACAACACTTAATGTAGGTTGGGACCTCACTTATTATATGTATTTCAAAATCACTTCATCTCCACCCAAGCATATCAGAGATCAAACTTTTGATTCCTCATTTTTAACTCCATAAAATAAAATAACTTGCATTTGAACTTCAACCATTTGAAGTAATCTTCTCGATGTTGACATTTACAAGCCAAGACTCTGGTACTTTTGGGTTCAGTTGAAGGATTTGCAATACTGACCAGAATCCAGATTTAACTCAGAAGTCATACCCTGAAAATGCAACGATACACACATTCTCTAGAGAAACCCAAATACAGAGAAGTTGGCTATCGACTTTCAAACAAATGAAACATCCTATTCAAAGTTCCATTACATAAGCTCAATGGCTTCAAACATTTAGACCAGTATTTTTGGATAATTCACTTAAATAATGCATCCATCCACGTTGGGCATTTTTGTGTTCCTAGATCTTCTATCTTTCCCCCACGTAATTAATATGCAGACCAGCCTCACTAAAGCTTAGTGCAGTTGTATACAACTGTTGCAAGCATCTTGCTTGGCAAAGTACTTACACTGAGATAGCACCATAAGCTTATAGGTTTTAAAACCAATGAAACACAGAACTCAACAGATTTAAACCATACCATGAAAGATTGCATGATCAGAGAACTAAATATTTTATTCTACCAAATGACTTTTGTCAAACATAGGATTGCTGCATTTAAATACATTTAACCAGTTTGAATACTCAGCAGCAAGCAAAATACACCTTCCCCTATTCAAATTCTCGCTAATGCTACAAAAAAGTAAGCCATTTAACGTAAAGAAGCAAGCTGTCAACTTTGTATCCAAAATTCAAACTTGGAAAACCAAGTCGTCTGAAAATCAAGAAAGGACTACAAGATGATCGCAATGCATGTTCCCAGAGTATGCAAAGAAAAACCTTGAGTTGCGGCCATCTCTTTCTCAACCTTGGCCTGCATTTCGCGCAGCGCGCCAGCTTCTTCTTCTATCTCCTGCAATCTCTTCTTCATACTCTCCAAGTCCTATAAGATCAAAAACAAAGACAAAAGATCAGCCAAGTATCTCCATAAGCGTTCTCCTTCAATTGAACTCTGTGTTTGTGCGTGTGCCCCCAATTTTTTCACATACCCAATACACCCGCAGGTGTTGGATACAAACAACATACCTTGCCTTTGGAGTCATCCTCTGCATACCCTTCCGCATCAGCAGAAGGCTCGAAGTCTGACTCCATGTAAGCCTCCTCAGGCAGCTCGCCTCCGTAGACATCATCGTCTTGCTCGTGCTGCCCATCGTGGTCCATCTCTATTGGCAGCTGGTGCGTGTAGGTACGAGCAATTATGCTCGTATTTGTGGCTTGTGGTTTCCAACAGACAAGTAGCACAGCTCGATTCGTCAATTAGGTCGAAAATTTTGTTCCTTTTGTGGAGTTTCTAGGGTTTTATGCGTTGAATTTCACAGAGGTGGGTGGGAATTGGGAATTGGGATAATTAATTATTAAAGAAACAAAAATCCACACCGTACAATTTAATCTAATATCATCTTTATTCTCAACTCAACCCAACCCAACCCAACCCAATCCAACCCAACCCACACAACCCAATAGTTAAATTTATTTTTTTTCCTCCACATACACAACTCAATCTTCCAACTTAATTTATCTTTATCACCAACCCAACCCAACCAACTCAATCTAAATATTTATTTTATTTTATTATATTTAAAAATTGTAATTGTGTTCTAAAATATATCAAGTGTGATATCTATCTGTAGATAATGAAAAAAGATAATTTTTTGTATTTTTTTAAAAACCAAAAAATACACTTGTCCAATAAAAATGGAACAAGTGTCCCATTTCTTCCCCAATATACCGGTCGCAACACGAGGTCACAATGTGACTTGGGTCGCTCAAGTTTGTGACCTTTTCTTTTCTTTTTCATTTTGTTTTATTCCTGTGATCCACTCAATGGGCCATGGATAAAAGTAGTCTAAGAGCATCTCCAATGCTCAAATATTGTTGTGGTAAATTACATGTCACATAAAAAAATTTAGGCGAAATTTTATCTATATTTAATGAAATTAAAATATTTGTAACAATACCATAGTCAAATTTTGTATTGCATCCTTAGAGAAACGTGTGGAAATAATTGTCAATATGCTAAGATACGGTTACCAAAAAAAAGGGGATCAACTATCCTTAAATTACGGAAGTATTTATTACTTGCCGTTTTTACTAAAAAAAAAATCAAAATATATGGTAAGTGTATATATCCTAATATCTAGGATATTGTTCAATTTTTGTGTTATTTATATCTCGTTTTTTTCTGTATACTTATAGACTTATAATATATTTTCTAGTTTAATACATACAAAATACACGAACATAATTATACGCGGAAGATATACATAATATATACTCATTATATACAATATATAATGAAGTTACAAACTAGAAGTTACAAACTCGGGATATTGAAGTATATTATTCATGCACATACACATAATATATTCATGTCATATATTAAATATGGAAACCTCGCATATACACAGTCTTGAAAACAACTGTAAGTATATCATTCATGCACATATACATAACATAATCGAGTTATATACGTAGCATATACTTAACGTAATAAAAATTTCGATATATCTGCTTCTTGCGTCTGTCCTCCAGTATCTCCCTGTTGGGCCCTCGGGTCACGCCCGCAGCCCCTTTGCCCGATTTGAAATCCTTGCTCGAACCGGCGACGACTCTATTCGCCCTCGTCTTCACGGTGAAGGCGTTTGCCTGAACGTGGCCGCTGGTGCCGGAGCCCCGATAGGTCTACCACCCTATTTCGTTGTACATCGTTGGGCCACAAAAATCGGTCAAATTTCAATGTTTATGCAGATCACAAGTGAAAAAAAACAAGAGAGAATGAGGGGGAGAGGATAAAGGGTCGTTCATAAAGATAGAGAGAGAGAGAGATATGAGGTGGTGAAATAACGAAAAAGAAGAGAGAGGGAGGGGAAGAGAGAAACAAAGAAAAGAGATAAATAAGCGTGATTTGGGGGAAAGAAACTGATAGGTTTCCTTTAATGCTTGTATTATTTTCTGGTATATCTACAAATAAAACATGATTTTAGGTAGAATTGCTAATATTTATAATAGATGTTTAATTGTTTAATAAAAACTGAAATTTATGGTGTATGGAGTAATTTTCTCAAAAATTTAGTAACATCACAACTTTATGTCCTCAAATTTACATTGTGATCATAAATGTTGTAATGATGTGAACATAATTAATGTTACATGTAGAAAAGAATGTAGTTCATCCACATTCTCCCCCACACTCTAACTAGTCAACGAAGAGAAGAGAGATAAATATTTTTTACCATTTTTAAGTTATTTAATTATTTAACTAAAATTTTCTTACTTCTTATTAAAATTTTAATATTTGGTAAGTAGATAATATTATAGTTAGACTACATTGTGCATTACAGATGATTTTTTAATTTCATAGTTGTGAACTTAACATTTTTCCTACATGATTCACAATCTATTTAATTTATTGACATTTTTTATAATTTATTCTATAGCAACATAGAGCATTGAAGATGCTCTAAGTGTGTGTTGAGAATCCTATGTGAATTTTTTTTATGTTATATTACTTGACGTAAATAAATTTCAATTTATTTCCAATCCGAAAATAACTAGACTTGCAATATCCATATACTAGTATTCAACCTTGTACATTTGCACAGATACATTATAAATTATTTATACGTATATGATATTTAAATTATAAGTTAGATAATAGTATTATATTTTAAAACGGAAATTATTATAATATTATAAGTTATATTTATGCATATAATATTAAATCTATAAGTTCGTTCATAGTATTATGTTTTAAAATTTGATCATTTGTTAAAATAAATAGTATATAACGATTTGATTGCATACGAATCAATATATTAATTGCATAAAATTTACTAAGTAATGTAATTTTTGTAATTTTGAGGGATCATGTCCAATTAATTAGATGGAAAATGTTAAATTTATTACAACAATTGCTTATGAAATTTTAAGAAATTTTACTATAACAGTAAAAAATTAATCTATTTGAAAAAAAATCTAAATACTTAAACAATTTGTTTATGTAACTTTTGCATATCACTTAGTATAAAATATAATTATTAATTTTGTTAATAACTATTATATGACTCAATAAAAAAATATAATTATTACTCAATTAACACAAAATATATTTTTTTGTTTTCAAAAAATATAATTATTACTCAACTAATACAAAATATATATATTTATTTTTTTTTTTGTTTTAATCAACCCTAAAAAATGTAACTAAATAATTTATCATTAATGAGATAGGGTGGATTAATGTCACATAGGTAAATTTATTGGGTTTTATTTTTTAAGTTATATTTAATGATTTGCCACAAAGGTAAAATTTATTAAGTTTTATTTATTAAGTTATATTTAATGATTTGCCACATAGGTCAAATTTATAAAGTTTTATTTATTAGGTAAAACTAAATGAAATGCTAGCAATTGCATATACTAGTATTCGATCCTGTGCACATGCACATATGTTTAAATTGTTATAAGTTATATGCATACATAGTTAGATAATAGTATCACATTTAAAACTGTTGTCATTAAAAAAATAAACATTATAAACGTATTCAACTTCATCACTATAATGGTTACATAAAATGAAATGGATAAGGTAGTTTTTATAAATTTGAAAGATCATGATTGTAAGCCCTGAACCAGTTTTCTATATATTAGCTCGACTTTATTTCCAGAAATAGTAAGTTCATAATTATGCTGAGTTTTATTTATTATTATTTACATAATTAATTTAAGTCCTAAGTCCAAGCCATTGAGAAATCATTCGAATTTTATTTCAAAAACAAAATAAGATGTAAGTTTAAGTCTCGATTTATAATTTTGAACGAGTATTAGAAAAGTCGAGAATTGTTTAATTTCTGAGTTGAGCCATTTTATTTAGTCGGCCCAAATAGTATTTAATTTATCGAGCCAAATTATTAGTTCGAGACTTGTTGTGCTGTTGTGGTTCTCTCTCACGGTGTGTAACTCGGTTTTCAGTTATGTATACCACATGAGTTGTGTACTAATTTTAAATAGACATTTTTATGTAATTTTGTACAATTTTACTTTATATAATATTTTCAATAAATTAGAATATGTAATGGTATTACATATTGATTCTATATTTTTAATTTATAAATATTACTTAATAAGAGTTTTTAATTTATAAATATTAGTGAATATCTCTTACCCGTGCATTGCACGGGACTCAAAATAATATGTTATTAAATTGAGAAAATTTTCTATACATTTTTATCTTTATTTTAAATTTAATATTCATATTTCTTATGAATTTATCTTTCTTTTTTTATTTTTTTTTACCAAATATGTATATCTTTTTTAAACTTCATAATTGTTTATATTTATTTATCTCTTATTTTAATAGATCAAAATATTAACAAATAATTTCAACATAACAAAATGTGTGTAAATTGAGATCATAAAACAAAGAATAAATGTATATCGAATAAAATTTATTTAACGTATAATGAATACTCTTAACTACGACTTCATGACACCAAATATTTTCGCAAAATCCCTATCAAACACTCCATTTGCCAATATGGAACTATTTATTTTTCATCAATTATTGTTCTAATTTATTTATTTATTTTGTTATGATTAAATTGGTGCTATATATATTTTTGTGTATTATACTAAAGGAAGATGATACGGTCCGTTACTGAACCATTTCGTCGGGGTTTGTAACCGCTAAATCAACTATTTCTGATGATCTAACGATTACAAACTCCGATGGAATAGTTCTGTAACCGAACACTTAGAATTTCCAATAATATCCAAGGGACGAAGAGAAGGAACAACAATGGCGTTTCATCACTTTCCTCGTAACAAATGAGAGTAATTAATATCTGTTAAATTTAATGTCACTTTCCTCCTTATGAAACTGTAGCATTTAAGATTTAGCATAAAAAAATTAAAAATAAAACCTCCTCACCTCTCCATTCATTCCTTCCATCATCAAGCAAATCTACTACAGAACACACACACACACACACACACACGCACTACACACACTTTTATTAAAATAATAT